CCCAGGAGGCGGAGGTTGCGGTGAGCCGAGATCGCGCCATTGCACTCCAGCCTGGGTAACAAGAGCGAAACTCCGTCTCCAAAAAGAAAAAAAAAAAAAAAAAAATTCCCTTTTAGAATAAAAAAAAAAAAAAAAAAAAAAATGTCCCTTTTAGTATTAAAGAAGGGTAAGTGAGAGAACGAATTGTTTCCATGTAATCACATCTAACCTTTTTTGAAATATATTATGTAGAAAAAGACTGAGGAAAAGAAACAAACAAAAATGAAGGAGACTGGCTTTAATTGAAGGTGATTGCCATATGGAACTCCATAGAATCAGCCTCCACAGATCCTAGCAACGATAGCGCTTGACAGTTGATCTTTTCATCAAAATACTATTGCTAATACATGAACTAATGACCACATACATAAAGAGTCATATAAATGAATGGTGGTTTGGAACTGATTGCATACCTGGGGCAAACTTTTGTTTTTTTAATCCTTAAATTGGGGGCCTAAAATTTTGGATGCCGTGGTGAAGAATTTCATTTATATATGTTTATGTCAGAGAAAAAATGTGTTTCTAATAGACTCTTTTCTCTTTTGTAGGTTTTTTCATCTGGTCCTGATATACATTATGACCCACATCGCTGGTTAGCAGAAAGCAAGGTAATTAATCTTTGAATCCTAAAGTTGTTGCAATATTTATGATTTTTAAGCTATCCTATTTGGTTTAGCTATTTATTTTGTCATGTAACTGAGCATATGGGGCTGTAATACTTAGTTGTAAGGAAACAGATCATTGCAGTCCATTTTCGCAACCTCCATGTTTTATATTTTAACATTTAAAAGTTAAATATATAGGCATGGAATTAGAGAATAAAGGAAAATAAAACTGTTGAAATATTAAGAACCAGATTATAGATATAGGTGAACATTGACAAAGGAACACAGAAGGAGGAAGAGCTAATTCTGTTGTTTGTGCTGGGAGAAAGGTATGATGCTGCCAGCATGTCTAGACAGTGTCTAGAAAAATGCAATATTTAAACTTGGTCTTACAAAAATATGTAGTTCTCCAGTTAGCTAGTTATGGGTAGAACAATGGCATGAAGATGAGAATTTTTTTTTTTTTTTTTTTTTGAGACGGAGTTTCGCTCTTGTTACCCAGACTGGAGTGCAATGGCGCGATCTCGGCTCACCGCAACCTCCGCCTCCTGGGTTCAGGCAATTCTCCTGCCTCAGCCTCCTGAGTAGCTGGGATTACAGGCACACGCCACCATGCCCAGCTTAATTTTTGTATTTGTAGTAGAGATGGGGTTTCACCATGTTGACCAGGATGGTCTTGATCTCTTGACCTCATGATCCACCCGCCTCGGCCTCCCAAAGTGCTGGGATTACAGGCTTGAGCCACCGCGCCCGGCCGAAGATGAGAATATTTGAGTAAAACCACATATAATCCCTGAGATTGGTGAGTGAGACATAGATGGGAGATGATAGAAAGATAAGGGTTACCTTTGAAGGCCAACTGTGCATTAGAGAAGCCTCCTAAAACAAAGCATTCTTAACAAGAAAATAAAAGTATAGTGATGGAACATTAGAATTTTATTCTACTGCTTTTCAACAGTGAACCTTTGCCTTTCTCGCTGTTTTTGATAGAAACAAATGCAAATTTATATTTATGCCGCCTGAATAAGGAATTTAGAATATACATGTTTTGCTGTCTCAGAATGTTTTGGCCAGAAACTTCGGTTGTGCATTGATATTGCATTTCTCTTTTTTCTTTTTCTCAACTTCACAATTCTGACAACAGGAGCAATGTACTTAGAATTTTCTTTCAAGTTAAAATCTTTATCATTTCTGAACAGAAAGCTTTCACTGCTGTAGTTCAGTTAAATTATGAGAGCCAGAGATGACTCTTAATCATAGCTCTTTAATTTGGGAGCTAGTGAGTAGTTTTCCCTTATCATTTAATGGGATTGAACTTCTGATCAGACCAGTTCTAAGACTGCATGAGACAACTATTCCTTCCACAGTGTAAACAGGTTGTGATAAAAAATACCACACTGACCAACTGTCTAAGGGGGAATTGAATCTATTTGCTAGAAAGATGGCTTAGGTTATTGATGGGTTGCAATACTGTAATTCCCATGAACTATGACTGAACAGCTCTATAAGTATTGAAGATAAGATCTGAAATCAGAGGACAAAAAACTATATGGAATAAGTAGAATTGCTCTTCAGATAGTCCATTCTGATGTCTTGCAGTATTAGATGGACCTCTGAGGGCATTCAGTAATTGTTTTCATAAATCTGCCAAATGAATTTGTTCTGTTAGTGTTAATTCTAGAAAACAAGGATTGGGTGGAGATTGCATCACAGCTGCATTGTTGGCACTGGTGGCATAATAAAAATCTGAAGTCCAACTAGGAGTTGGACTATACTTACAGGTACAATAGCTAATGAATGGTAATAATAAGAAACTACAGGAAGGAAGAGGATTGAGATGGTCTGTATTAGTCAGGGTTCTCTATAGGGACAGAATGAATGGAATAGATATATTTTTAAAGGGGAGTTTATTAAGTATTTCTTCACACGGTCACAGGGTCCCACAATAGGCCATCTGCAGGCCGAGGAGCAAGGAGAGCCAGTCCAAGTTACAAAACTGAAGAACTTGGAGTCCAATGTTTGAGGGGAGGAAGGATCCAGCATGGGAGAAAGATGTAGGCTGGGAGGCTCAACCAGTCTCTCTTTTTACATTTTTCCTGCCTGCTTATATTTTAGCCATGCTGGCAGCTATTATCTTCTACCCACCCAGATTAAGGGTGGGTCTGCCTTTCCCAGCGCACTGACTCAAATGTTAATCTCCTTTGGCAGCATCCTCACAGCCACACCCACCATCAATACTTTGTATCCTTCAATCTAATCAATTTGGCACTCAGTGTTCATCATCACATTGTTATTAAGGAATGCCAGGTAAGCAGTTTCCACAGATTAGGGATATGTTTTTGTAATAAGTTCTGACAAGACATTGTAAGGCCAAATTTTCTTCAGCTTAGTGGAATTTACTGAGAAACTACTATGTCTGAGATGCTGTTACATGCCGTGGGCATTAAAAATGAACAAGACATGGTCCTGGTCTTTAGGAAAGACAGACACATATGCAATCATTTCAGTATTTTAAGTCAGAGCTATAATGAGAAGTATGCACCAGCTGCCATGGAGGCGGATGTCCCTGGTCAATATTGACACCAGCCAAGTCAAGAGCAAAGAACAAGCATGCAAAGAACAAAGTTCTAGGAAAGGCTTGGTAGAGAAGCAGTTTGATGAATACAAAAAAACTGACATGATTTGGCAATCATAAAATATGAACGTATGACATAGAGAATATCAAGGGATGGAGCTCCAGGCAGAGGGGTTAGGTTCCTCCAGTAGAGCATTGTTTGTCATTTTGAGGATCCTGGATTCAGATCTACGTGGCATGGAGAATCACAAAGGAGTTTTGAACAAGAGAGTGGCATGGTTATATTTATGTTTTGGAAGCATCATTTTGGTAGTGAGGTGAAAGGAGGTAGTTTGGGGTTGGGAAGACTGGAGGCAGCAAGACCAGTTAAGAAGCTTTTGCCATATAGTGAGACAGGGTGAGAGTCTGAATTAAGAAAATTGTTGAGACATTCAAAGGAAAGGACTGATTGGAGTAATTTTGTTGACAGCATGCACATGATGAGAGATGTTATAGTCCAGGGTGATGGAGAAAGAGATTTCCAGGATTTTCTAGTTCTAGTAGAAGACTCTAGTCAGGGATTAGTATCTGAATAAATGAACATGCAAAGTCCCAGACAGGCAAATTCATAGCAGTATTGAAAGAGTTTCCACCAGAGAGATGGATAGTCAGAAACTTCTATTTGGACAGAAAGGCCCCATGAGAGGCAAGGACAAAGACAAGCATCACAGTTTTTGTTCAAGAAATGAGAAGTAGCAAAGATATTCTCATTGAGACAGTAGGGACAACATGTCACATCGAGAGCAGGCCGGCACTCTCAGATGGGACCCACAGACTAGAGAGAATCACTGTTGAGCCCACATGTTAGATTACTGTTTTGCGATAGAGAATAAAGAGAAGCTGGTGTTAGCTGTGCTTCCACGTTAGACAGGATCCTGAGTGCACTGTTGTTCATGGAACACATTTAATTCCAGGATCCAGTATTATTTATTCCCTTAAGAGGCAAAAAGGTGAATTTTTATACTTTTTTGACAGTATAAAGCTATAGTTTTTTTTTTCTTGGCCTTTGCTCCATTGTACTGAAATTCCCCATTTGCTTCTGTTTGGTTAGTCTGTAAATGTTACTAGGAAGATCTGTGCTTATCCTGTTCTTCATTACATCTTTAGCACTTATCACAATGCCTGGCTAAATGTTCATTAATTTTATTTAAAAGAGTAATTATATTAGGCATGCTGCATTTTCCCAGTGGAGGCACTTCCTCAACTTAAATATTATAGAAAAATAAGTAACAAGCAGGTGAGATTTCAGTGAATCTATTAATTCCCAAGTACTGGTTTTATTTGATCATAGCTATAAACTTGGAGATTAGATGGGTAAGAAATATACTTCCAAATTTAGGGAGAAGTATTTTTTTTTTAATATTGTCTTGTTTGATATCACCTCAAAGGGTCACACTTTTTGTAGTATAATATATTCTAGGCATTGACAACTATTTGCTTTTCCATACTGTCCAACGGACACAGCTTTAGAGATCATGTAATTTGACCGCCTCATTTTGCAGATTGAAGAAACTGAGGCCCAAGATGTTTTTAGTTTTACCTAAAAACTTAAAGCTAATTAGTTACTGAGGAGAGCTTAGATCTCAGGTCTTGGAACTCTGTTCCGTCATTTCTCTTCCTTGGTTGTGTAATCCACACTTGAGTATATGAATGTTAACTTTTTATTGACATGGATTTTTTAAAACATTGTGTGAGAAGTCTTAAACCTAGTGTATTTAATTCTTGTTGGTAGATATGGATAAATATCTAATATTTTATTCTTCTGATATAGAAAGGAGAATGTTATACTCAGTATCTTGGCTGATTTGTTGGAAATATAGATTATTTACATGGAATATTTTCAGTTAATTGAACAGAAGTATGTGTTCTGTGGATATTATTTAACTTTTTTCTTGATTATATTTATAACAGTGAAAAAGTGGAGAAAGTGTTACTGAAAAAATTACATATTTTTAGGTGGATTTGTATTTGAATTTTGCATTTCTAATTTAATTCTTGCTTTGGTGGCTGACCACATTCTAAAAAATTGCCATCCTCTTTACCTCTGGTTCTTATATAAACGTTTTATTTCAAAATTGTGTCTAGAGCTTTGGCAAAAGAAGCATCGTAATTAAAAGAGGAAAATTCTAGGTCCTAATATTATTGCTACCTTTTTAAGCTATAATCTTTTTATTTAAATTTTCTCTTGTCCTTGATTTTTAGCTTTGATTCATTTCTTAGTGGCTTCAGTATATTATTACCCTATGACTCAGTAGAGGATTCTCACAGATTAAAAAGATCATCTTGGTAGCTTTACTAGACACTTATGAATATTCCCACCTAATTGCAAGCTATCAATATGAAGGTTAAGAAAACGCCATAATCTGGGTGCAGTGGCTCATGTCAGTAA